AGTTTTTGTCCATAACTCTCAAGATTTATATACTCCTGCCAGAATGCACAGCTAGTCTAGTGAACCCAGTTTTCTGTACTGTAGTTGAGCCGCACAAATAGGTCACCTCCATACACGAGCCTATGATTGGAAAGTGAAAGATATGCAATAGATAAGTGAGGTCATCGCTCTGCTCTCTCCTTCAGTCAGCACATTCTGTGAACACATACCTGAAGTGCTGCCCATTCCTCTCCTAGTCTGAGTGTTTCAGTACAGGACATTACAAGAGTAATGGTCTGTGAAAATGCCCTGGAGGGGACGAAACGCGTTGATGCATTTCCGGCTTCGCCGTCCAATGTACCACGCCACTTCCGATGAGTGGAGCGCCCGCTCTCAGGAGCCATCTTGCCTGTGGGTGGATTCTAACATACTGACATCTATTGCTGACTGTGAGATCTTTATCTGGAGCCAAAACGCCACATCACCAGGATAAACAAATGCCGATTATATTCTTTTAAGATGTGAGTGGTTTGGTATTTGCATTCATCCTGTTTGAGTCTTGCAGTATTACACTATATACATTTTTTTCTCTGTAGCAATCATCTTCCTATGGAGAGTGATCTTAGAATTGGCCTCCAACCTCCAGGACCATCAAACTATGGTTTGGAGGTCTGAGGCATATATATCTTTACCTGTGTTGTGGGATTCCAACCTAAACCTGGCGATTGGAGGCTGAGTTGATGGGGTCTAGGATTCCTGAGCCCATATTTAAGGCATTTTTTTGAGTGCGGTATTTGATCTTAGCACTGGTCAAGGGTCTTGGAATAAGGACTTTTTATTTCATTTTACTCACCATATTCTATATTTTTTTGGAGTGGGACTATTTAATTATTATATTTTTTTTTTGTATGAATTTTTTTTTGTATTATTTACTATATATTCTTTTGTGTTTATTTGCACTGTTTTAATGTTTTTGTTGCCATTCCTCTCCTGTATTTCAGTACAGGACATTACAAGAGACTGAAATCAATTCAGTTGCATTCAGATATTTATACTAGTTGTATTTTAACTATATTCATTTTTATTTAATGCGTATTTGCATTGACGGATGCCATTTAATATTTGCCCGAGGCAATAAAATATTATCTAAATACAAGAGTCGAGTATTCTTTCTTGAGTCTTGGTAATCTTTGTATATTTCTTTCAGATCAGTGACGTAATCCTCTGTGAAGCAGCTATCCATAATAAAGACCAGACACTGCTGCTCTCTCCCCTTGTGCAGTGTTTACTGGTCTGGTCTCCTCCCCCTCCTGTAGTTTTCTACAGGCAGCCTGCAGTGGGTGGAGCCTCCCACAGCTGTGTGCAGGCTATGCACAACATAGTAGGTGTCATTGATATTTTTTTTTTTTAATAAATGTGATATAAGGCTACGTTTCCACTTAGTGTTTTTACTGCGCTTGCAGGGCCTTTTAAACATGCGATTTAAAAACCGCACCAAAAATGCACCGGGGGTGCAGTTTTGCAGCATTTTCCATTGATTTCAATGGGGAGGTGAGTTTTTGTGTTTTTTTACTGCACCAAAAATGCAGGAAGCCCACAACGGATCAGTGTAATAAGAGTTCCATTTTGTGCAAAAGCAGAGGAAAAATTGACCAGTGTGAAAGCAGACTGAATCCACTTTGTGTGCATTCAGTGAAAAAAGGGGGTAATTTCCTGAAACTGGAGCACTCAGAAGCTGATTGGCTACCAAGCACAGCTGCACTAGATTCTAATGACAGCTTGTTCAGTTAAAAGATATGTTCACCTTTGGAACATACGCCATCAGTTTTTAGGGTGTACCATGTTTCAGCATCTGCAGCTTCTAACCCCCCCCACTCTGATCCCCTCTCTCTGACAGCGGGCTGGGTATATTCTCCCTGCACCTGCTGTCACAATTTGAAAGCAGGCCCACTGTGCAGGGCTCCACCCACACATTCCTTTACAATCCTGTGAATGAATGCCTGCAAGTACCATCAGCCATTGCGGCTGACAGCTTGTTATTCTCCGTGAACTAAGAGGGTGCTGGTGAGCATTTTCGTAGTCCATTGATCTTCCTGCTCTCAAGTAACTGCCTGCCTGTATGAGCTACAGGCAGGCAGCTATGTTGAGAGTCTGCAGGAGCCTGAGATTGCACCCATGATTTGCTGATCAAAGATGCTCTGCCAGGAAATTAGAAAAAAAAAAAAATAATAAATGCACATTTTTTAATTTTTTCAGGAAAAAAAAAACCTTTTTTTTCAGAACTTGAACCTATTCTTTAAGCCAGGGGTCTCCAAATTGCGGCCCGAGGGCCGGATATGGCCCTTTGCTACCCTTTATCTGGCCCTTGGGGCACTATTCCTCCCACTGAGACTAACAATAGGGCAGCACTTCTTCCATTGAAACCAATTATGGTGTACGATTATTCCCACTAGAACCAATGATGGTGTACTATTATTTCCACTAGAACCAAGGATGTTGTATTATTCTTCCCACTAATACCAATGACGGGGCACTACTCCTCCTACTGACCGTTAACCCTGCAGCCATGTTTATTCTCATGGATGCTGGGGCCAGGACATTTTCTATCCTCACTGGTCCTAATCCAGCCCTCCTAAAGTCGGAAGGACCATATACTGGCCCTTTGCTTGAAAAGTTTGGAGACCTCTTGTCATGTTTCACATGACTGTCATATGCCTTTAAGTGTTCTTGTATTTTGTCTCTGCTCCTCCCTTTCCTCTGGTTTAGTTCTGCTGTATAGATAGCACTCCCCCTTTCCCAGAAATGCATTTCAGCTTCTAGCCTCATGTCATGAAGCA